GAGGAGCACTCAAGTCTAGGGTATAAATGTCCCAAACCCCACCCAAGTGGGGCACTCAGTTTCACCAGCTGAGTTGCCCACTCAGATCCTATCTGAGTGTATTTCTTTTCTACAAATAAATCCTCACTTGTTTTTGCTGCCATTTGTAGTCTATTGTATAAATTCATTCCTACAAGCAAGACAAAAACTGGGTTCACAGAGTACTGCCTCTAGACAAAGACCCCCTTGACCACTGCTGACAGTGCCATTATGAGACCCATCACTCGGCAGAAGGATGTGTTGACCTCCCCTTTCTCTTTCCTCTTCTTTTATTAAATCAAGATAACAATTTCCTCCTAATCTTTGAAATAATCATTATTCAAATCTGCAAATATTGTTTATACTATATTTAGGCAATGCAGATAAAATTGTTTTGTGGAATGGGTTTTTCTCCTTCATATTGCACTACATGGTATTTGCTAGGTTCACAGCACTTTGTAACTCACAATAAAATTCAATGTCTCCCTCCCTCCCTTCTACTCTTTCTAAAAATCAATGGAATAAATATCCTCAAGTGAGGATTAATAAGAACAAAAAAAGAAACAACAAAAAGTTATACATAAAAAGGACTAAAAGCTTGACTTAAAAGCCATTTTGAAATATAAGATGGTATTGTATGATAAATATATGCATCATTACAAATTTGAAAGAAGCCAGACAAAAGAAGCAAAAGTTATAAAGGTGAAAATATGTAAGAAGGCAGGTTTTATGTAGCTACACTAAAAACTGGGATTTACCATAAAGTCAAATGGCAGTGAGTGTCTATCACTGTCCCCATTTGATAGAAATCCAAGTAAGGAAAATGATTCTTTACATTAGATGGTAAACAAGTCTTTGCTTTACAAACTATGCATGATCAGAAAAAGAAAAGACCTCTTCTTTGATAGAAAATAACATTCTTTGCCAAAATCCTGACAGTAAATGCCAAGAACTAGATGAGTCAAAAATTTGCTGGCAAAAATAAATGCAAAAGTTTCGAAATGTATCACATTTATGAAAAGTGTTTGTGAAGTGTCTTTACTGTCTGTGATCCCTAGGGGTTTGACTGTATTATTGAAGCCAAGAGTCACCCAGTGACCCTGAAATATAAAGCTAGATCTAAAAGCAGGGCAGCATGCTCATCTCAATAGTTCAGCTGGGATTCATAGTGGTACATGTTGCTCTCATGGGATAGCACCCCAAACCCCTTGGTAACCAACCTACCCAGACTTATTGGCAAGAAATCTCCTTGTCAGGAGACAGAAACTGGCCTCCATTCTCTGATGTGAATAAGCAGTTGAAAAAAATGTACGTGGATTACAATAGATGGCTCATTTGCTGATTTCTACCCTCATACCACTTTCCTCTTCCATGTTCTTGGACTTTTACATTAGTACAATACTGTCTCAATGTCCTCCTAATTATAGAATCAATCCCCTGTCTGAACACCTTCTTATATTAATATGCAAACTAGATTTAAAGCAGAGGAACTCTGTACTGAACATACAGAGTTATAGAAGAGGAGGGAAGAATACCCCATGTCATATCCACAAAAAATCCCAGCTGGTAGTTTACTTGGCTTTTATATGGGAAGTGATGGGAAGGTAATCCGCTGGGAAATAAGATTTTATTTCCCCTGTATTCCTCACCTTTGGATGCATATTAGCATGCAAGATGGAAGAGTGAGTGAAGATTCATTCCCACAACAAGCTTCTAGAATGCTAGAAGCAAGATACTATGGGAAACAGCCCAGAGATGGAAGATGCTGAGGACACCTTGCCATACTAGCAGTCAGCAGCTGTGCATCACTGCAGGTTGCCCAGGACCAAACCAGAGAGGGTCGGACCTGCATCACCACCATTTGTCCACCATCCAGAAATGAAATATCATTGCTGACACATACATATAAGGAATTGTTTGACATAGAAATTGGGATTCAAAAGAACTGTAGGCCCAGAAAGAAACTCACCACAGACTGATTCATTTGCCTCTCAGCATAACCATTATTGCTTGTCTCATTTTCAGTTCTTATAAGTGTATTTCTTGTATCACATGATCTCACTTATCTAGGGGAAATAATGAACAACATAAACTGATTAACAAAAACAGACCTAGAGACAGGAAAGCATCGATCAGACTGTTGAACCTCAGAGGGAAGGTAGGGGAGGGTGGGGATAAGAGGGAGAGATCAACCAAAGGACTTATATGCATGCATATAAGCCTAACCAGTGGTCACGGACAACAGGGGGCTGGGAGCATGTGTGTGTGTGTGTGGGGGGGGGGGAGGTTTGGGATGGGAATGGACGATGAGGACAAATATGTAATACCTTAATCAATAAAAAAATTTATAAAAAGACACAATGGGGGATACAAAGTATGTTTCTCACTCATGTTGTGTTCCAATACAGTTGGATTTTTTAAAATTGCCATTTAGTCATATATTGACTTCAATATTCTAATTAATTAGATAATTCAAATATCACTTCTATGCATTTTAGAATTAAACATTTCAAAAAATAATTTGAAAAATTAACTCAATTTCTCAGTCGTCTATTGTTTTCTCTAAACATTATTTAATTCACTGTTGGATTTTGATTTTAGATAAATTGGATTTTTTAATAAATACTATTAAGCAGGTTCAAAATGTATTTTTACTTATGTTTTATAATATTCAAGCAAAGTGTGTATCTTAAAGTCACACAAAATGAATGTCTTGATGCAGTGGCATGGGTCAAGATGAAAAGCCAGTCACATCTGGACTCACATCTTACCAATCTAAGCCACCTATAAATTGAAATAAAAACAAATACATGGAAATAATGTTTTCTTTTATATCTTGAAATTTAAAATGCAGGCAGACTCAAGTGAAAGATTCTGAACAGTATAACAAGCAGGTTGAAAATTATAGCCATTTTCTCTCTGTTTCTCCCTTCCTAATTTGTTACTAAAAATGAACTTAATGAATGTCTGTTGTCTTTTCTTCATTGAACATGGATACTTTCTGATAAGAAAAGGCACTGAGAATTTCCATGTTTGAAAATCTAAGAGTATAACCCAAAACTTCTAAATTAATTGGTCCCTGGAAATCTATGCACTCTTGGGACTATATTTCCCAACACTTGCTTTAATAAATAGGAACAATACTGACCAGTTTGGCTCAGTGGATATAGCATCGGCCTGTTGACTCAAGGGTCCTAGGTTTGATTCCAGTCAAGGGCATGTACCTTGGTTGTGGGCACATCCCTAGTAAGGGGTATGCAGGAGGCAGCTGATTGATGTTTCTCCCTCATGAATGTTTCTAACTCTCTCTCCCTCTCCCTTCCTCTCTGTAAAAAAAATCAATAAAATATATATTTTAAAAAAGAAACAGGAATATAGTATAATAAACTACATATATAAAAGCCTAAGCAACCAACCGACCAACCGACAAACCGACCATTTGACCATTTGACCGTTCAGCTGGTAGCTATGATATGCACTCTGACCATAAGGAGGCATATGCTCAACATATAGTCATGGAAACATGGAACAGATTGATGAATCTCAGAGGGAAGTGGCCAGGGTGTGTGTGTGGGGGGTGGGAAGATATTAACCAAAGATCTTATATGCATACTAGAGACCCAGTGCATGGATTTGTGCACTGGTGGGGTCCCTCAGCTTGGCTTGCAAGGATCCAACCGAAACCAACAATACAATACCTCCTGAGGGGTCCTGGATTTGGAGAGGGTGCAGGCCAAGCCAAGGGACCCCACTGGTGCATGAATCTATGCACTGGGTCTCTAGTATGACATAAAAACAATAAACCTAGCATTTTTTGTTTTTTCAAAGTGAAGGGCTTCTTTAAATTTTTTAATAATAAGAATGCTTAGACACTTATAGATTATGTTGTAGCAATGCAGTTCTATTTAAATGTTTTATTTTTATCTTATGTTATAGAGAGAATGAAGTTCCACTTTGAAAATTATTGCATGTGTTACTACTTAAGAACAATATGGAATTAATCTAAAATAATGAAAGAAGTTAAAATAGCAATGCTTCATTAAATGTCCCTAAGTATATTTAAAATAGCACAAAGTGGTATGGTCAGCTTAGAGGTAATTATTTTAGAGTCCAAACACTGTACCTTCTTAAAAACTCTTGGGATTCAACGTAACCTGCGACAGCCTGAGGAATGCACTGCTCCTCCTGTAATTAAAGAGCAAGCACCTTGGGGATGCTGAAGGGAAGACAGACATTGGAGGCCACCAATTTACTTAAAATATGTCTTCCCTCCTATTTTTTGGCAGCTTGTGAATATTTTTGTGTGCATTTAACTTGTGTTGATATCCTTATCTTCTTAAAAAATATAACATCAACATAGTTCAAATAATCCTATTATATTTGTGGCTTTTAAGAAACTTTTCTAGGTTAAAAAAACAACAACACCAACAACAAAAAACAAACAACAACAACAACAACAACAAAAACTAAAGTTCAGTGACTCCGAGTTGCCCATGGGAACAGAGTTGGTTAAGGCAAGCCAGAATTGGAACTCAGGTACCCTGAGGCTTGGTTGGGTACCCTGAGCTCTACTGGTATAGAAGCAATTAGCAATTTTAAGCACTGCCACTGTCAATGATATACAGTGTTTCTAGAAGCTTCCATGCTCTGTTTAAAGTTCCACTAAGCATATCATTGCTTGTCAGCTGCTGGGACATACATAGCTAAGATGACACATGATTGCGTGTGCAGGAAGACAGACAGGGTATCTTAAAGGAGAACCAGAAGCTCCATCAATTATTACAGCCTTTAAATACTCAGTATTCAGCCTCAGGAGCTCAGAGGGCCACACAGAGTGGCTCAGAATTGAGTTCATGTCTCAGGAGCTGAAAACAAGCATGCAAAGGGTGCAGAAGGAAACCAAATCTTGGGTCACTGCCTAATCTTACCATGAACAGGAAATAGAGAAGGGGAGAAAGGTGAACTTTCCCTGGAGGCATTTTTCTTCAGAAGCAACAAACCTAAAACAAACAAATAAAAAACACACAGTGAGCCAAAGCCGGTTTGGCTCAGTGGTAGAGAGTCGATCTGCAGACTGAAAGGTCCCAGGTTCAATTCCAGTCAAGGGCATGTACCTTGGTTGCAGGCATGTACCTTGGTGTGCAAGAGACAGCTGGTCGATGTTTGTCTCTCATCAACGTTTCTATCTCTCTATCTCTCTCCCTTTCTCTCTGTTAAAAATCAATAAAATATATTTAAACACACACACACACACACACACAGTGGAATAACAATTAGTAATCCAGCAGTTCATAGAGGATGAAGAGAAAATGTGTGAAAATCCACTAACATTAGGGTAAGAACTACTGAATTACTACCAATATTCTAGACAGGCTGAATGCTTTTTTTTTTTAATAGATTTTTTATTGATATTTTTACAGAGAGGAAGGGAGAGAGCTAGAGAGCTAGAAACGTCGATGAGAGAGAAACATCGACCAGCTGCCTCTTGCACACACCCCACCGGGCATGTGCCCGCAACCAATGTACATGCCCTTGACCGGAATCGAATTCAGGACCTTTCAGTCCACAGACCGACGCTCTACCACTGAGCCAAACCGGTTTTGGCAGGCTGAATACTTTTTCTTTTTTTTCTTTTTTCTTTTTTCTCTTCATTCCTGAAGCAAATAGAATGCTAATTTGTCTCAATTCAGTTTCTTCATTGTATAAACTTAGAGGTCAATACAAAAGGACAAATGTGCTTAAATTCATCTGCAAAAGACCAAGATTTTACATTCACTAGTGCACAGGTTTTTATACCTATCAACCTAATTGAACTGTTTTGGATTTTTAAAAAGTGGTAATAAGCACCATTGTCTTTATCCTAAACCCTTCTCTCACTCTAGCACTTTCAATCTTCAATGGATCCAAGTATAATACAACCCCTTGACCTTCTCTGGCCAGCGATCTTCATCACCCTCCACTTACCCACAGTTTGGTGGACACACTCTGTGTTTAGTCATTATCAGACTTCTCAATCCTTTGAAATCTTCAGCAGTAAGAGTTCATTCTCTCATTACAGGCCAAACACAGCCAGCTGCTTATTTCTTCCCTCTCTATCTGCTCACTCACACCACTAATCTTAATACTTTTTCTTTCAATGAACCATTAACCAGTTCTGCTGGTCTGACTTCACCCCCTAACTAACTTGAATCATAATGATAGTGACATGAATATTTATTTTCCATCACCTCATTTTTCATTTGGCTCCACCTATTTTACCAATTTCCTATTAAAACTAAAACATAACTTATCTGTACCTATACTTGGCTTTCCATTGTTGTGAATTACCTGTGTATACTCTTTAACTGATATTTAACCTATCAGGGGATTTTTGTCTCTCTGATCTGGATGCTAATACTTATCTGCTATAGGAGTTGCATAAGTTTAAACTTCACATTAATACTTTATTTGTAGAAATTGCAGGTATGTTCTCTCAGGGCTTATATTTTAGTTCAAATGTGATGTATTTTATTTCATGGAAATTTAAAATTTTTAGTTACAACTGACACATAACATTGTATTCATTTTAGGTGTACAACATAGTGATTTGATCTATGTATATATTGTGATATGATTGCCACAATAAGTTTTGTTAACACCCATCTCTTCAGAGAGTTACAAATACTTTTTCTTGTGTTAAGAACTTTTAAGATCTACTTCTAATCAATATTCAGATATACACTGAAGTATTTTTAACTATAGTCTCCATATTGTCCATAACATCCTCAGAACTATTTTTCTTCTTTTTTAAAAAATATATTTTCTTGATTTTTTTACAGAGAGGGAGAGGGATAGAGAGCTAGAAACATCAACGAGAGAGAACCATCGATCAGCTGCCTCTTGCACACCCCCCACTGGGGATGTGCCCGCAAGCAGGTACATGCCCTTGCCCGGAATCGAACCCGGGACCTTTCAGTCCGCAGGCCGACGCTCTATCCACTGAGCCAAACTGGTCCCGGCAGAACTATTTTTCTTCTAACTGGAAGTTGTTACCTCTTAAGGACCTTCACCCATTCCCCCCCACCCTCACCCCTGTCTATGACAACCACCCATCTGTTTCTATGAATTCCATTTTAGGGAATATACATATAAGTGAGATCACAGAGTATTTGTCTTTCTCTGTCCAACTTATTTTACTTAACATCATGCCCTCAAGGTCCATCCATTTTGTCACATGGATATATAGCCAAATTTATAGTGCTTAAGTGACAATAAAACATAGTTTAAATAATCATATCATTGTTATAGTAATTTTGACAATTTAAAGTGGAAACTGGGAAAAATACTGTAACTTATTTCACATAAAAAGTTGATGTACGCCAGTGTGGCTCAGTGGTTGAGCATTGACTCAGGCACCAACAGGTCACTGGTTTGATTCCTGGTCAGAACATTTGCCAGGTTTTGGGCTTGTTCCCCAGTGTGCGGCATGCAAGAGGCAGTCAATCAATGTTGATGTTTCTCTTTCATTGCTATTTCTATCTTTCTCGTCCTCTTGCTTCCTCTTTCTCTAATGTCAATAAAAACATATCTTTAAAAAACGTTACTTCATAAACATATAGAGTGTCTGAAAATAGAGGAGTAAAAGTTGTTGTTGATAAATAGGCTGAAAAAATGATTGTATAGTTTAAAATCTGAAAATGGTTCCCTATGAAAAGATTCTCAGTCTCACTTATAATAAGAAAACATAGACCAAAACCACATGGAGATATTTTCATTATAAAATTACTTTTCAAAAAATATATTATGTTAACAAAAGGACCCATCTCTTATCTTCCAAAAGACTGACCCAACACAGAAGACAGAGCAATGTTTTATATGTCTTATATAACTCAATAGCACCTTAATAAGTATCAAGGTAATAATTAGGAGCTAATACTGTGAATGTTACTAAGGATAATTTATCACTATTCAAGTTGCCAATGCCCTCAGAACTAGAAAAAGGCAATAGACTGAGGAGTGCCAGTGGGGGGAAAAAATCACTATTATTTTCTCTGCCTCAAGGTGATTCTGTTGCTCCAGAACAGTACATTCAGTAATCTTCCTGTCTGGGTACAATTTGAAAAAAAGCGGCAATCACTATTGAAAAATAAAATCACCAAAAAACAGAGGCAAGCCTAATTTGAGGTTTTTAAGTATTTTTCTGGCTTAATCTGGTACATTAAAAAAAAGCATTTTGAATCACAGGACAATGTACCTAGTAATTCACGGCATTACATCCTCTCTTAGGTTAGTAAAGATCACAAAATAATTTTTCATCAATCCAGTCAAAACAAAGGTTTAAAACAAAACACATTTTGCCGAAACCGGTTTGGCTCAGTGGATAGAGCGTCGGCTTGCAGACTGAAAGGTCCCGGGTTTGATTCCGGTCAAAGGCATGTACCTTGGTTGTGGGCACATCCTCAGTATGGGGTGTGCAAGAGGCAGCTGATCGATGATTCTCTCTCATCGATGTTTCTAACTCTCTATCCCTCTCTCTTCCTCTCTGCAAAAAATCAATAAAATATATTTAAACACACACATACACACACACACACACACACACATATTTTAAACAGATTCAGCACCTGTGAGAGAATGGTGGCTGACGGGGGAGGGGGGGGGAGGGGGGGGATGGGGGACCTAGTCTGATTGGGGAAGTTGGTAAATTGAGGAGGGGGAGGAGCTAAGGAAAAACAAGATGCCCTACATTATTTTGATTCACAGGTGATAGGAAAAAAATGTCTTGAAGATATTTATTTTTAAACATGTTCTTGCAGCTCTTTTCAAAAGCTTTTCACATTGGATGATATAATGAAAGGGTTCAATTTCAAACATTATGACATTTTATGCAGTCATTATTTAAAATACTTCTTAAAATGCCAAAAAGAGCATAATGCTAATGAGAAAAAGGCAATTTTGCATAGTCTTGTCAGAATTAGAATAAAAAATATACTCTCTCTTGGGAGCAGACGCTAAATTCAAAATTAATATACTTAATAAAGGTATAATACTTGGAAGGATATAAATCCATAAGAAAAACACAACGTTCTAACTTCTTTATGAATTGTAAAGTGAACAAAACTCACAAAAGGGAAAACAAAATTTTAGTGTCACTAGAAAATTCATTTGGCACAAACATTAAATATGTACTGAGCTTAAACTATGAACATAATATTATAGAAACACCAACCCATTCATTTTTAGAGCTATAGTCAACAATAGGAGGTACTTAAATAGATTTTCTTAGTAGAAGACTACATTACCCGCTCATAAACATAGCTTTAGAATTGAGTTAAATATTCCTCCCTTAGATCATTTAGTTCTTCTGGTACTTGTTAGTTAGTTTCAATATCTTGTGTGACTAGCAGTCTGACATACAGAGAAAGCAATAGCAGTCAGCATGAAAACCTTGGAAGGTTGAGTTCAGAACACCAGTTCCTTCTATACCAAATTTTCTAGAACTGTGAGCTTCACTGAAAGAATCTATCTGTGAATGCCAGAAACTTTTGAGTGCCGAAGAGCAGAGTCCCTGATGTCTCATTTTTGGTTGCATAAAAAAAGAAGCTTGTTCAGCCCTGGCTAGCGGCTTGATTGGTTGGAGTGTACACCACCTCTGAAACCCTCTGGGATCCAAACTGGAACCCTCCCATACACACCCGGACAGGGAATCAAATCACAACAAAAGGTCTGGGTGTGTATGGGAGGGTTCCAGTTTGGATCCCAGGTGGGAGACAGCTGATCAATGTTTCTCTCTCACATTGATATTTCTCTCCCTTCCATTCTCTCTCTCCCTCTCTCTCTCTCAAATGATGTAATCATGTCAATAGATGCAGAAAATTGACAAAATTCACTATTGTCTCATGATACAGACTCTCAACAAATTAGTATAGAAGTAATGTAACTCAACATAATGAGAAAAAATGTTAAATATGTGCTAAATATATAAAAATTAATTACATTTCTATTGACCAGAAAGAAAGAG